TTTTAACAACCGGCGTAAAGGGAACTTTGCGTGCTATCAAGCAGTGAGCGTGTGATGTCCTGTTCAGATGACGTCAAATCCAACGGGATGCCATAAATAAACTACACAGAATCACACTACACACCTACGCAATGATTACATTCAGGCAGACTGTAGAATACAACCTCTTTGGACAATTCATATACTTATTGAAAACAAGCTACAAAATGTAATACCTTGGAAAATGTAGTTTAATACTTTTTAATAGCCTTCATTTTCACTAAATTGATTTATCAACTTTTAATACTTTTTAAGACACCCTGTATATGTAAGCACAGCGCCACATGTTTAATGTTTTTAATGTTATGTTACCAGGCGCATTATCTTCTAAGAGACTTCCTTGTAGTTTGTGTTGCTATAGTTTATATTTCTACTGATGCCAATTTGAAAAATGCTCTTAAGTTTTCTTGTGGAGCAAAAATAGGCTACAACTGCTTTCTTCCCTGTGTTGCAGAATGACAACACATTTCCTTACCTACCTATATGTATGACTTATACATCTGTTCGCAGTCTACATATTTATTTATATAGTATTACAATACACAGAGTTTTATTCCATGTAAAGTATTTAATTGTACATGTTTATAGTTTACTTTCTGCATTTTATTTTCACCGTTGTTTCTCTTGCACTTCAATTTCTTCTTGCATTATTCTTTATTTACTTCTATGTCTTAAGTATGTTGTATATTACAATGTATGAGGAGCTCGGGACATCATATTTTCATTGCCATAACTACGCTTTAGCTATTGTGCATATAACAATACATATAGCCTTTGAAATAAATGCAATTACAACTTGAATACAAGCTAGCCTGCCCTAACTTTGGATCTTAGATTAAGCTATAGTTTTGCATACTTCAGAAAGTCTCTAAACTACATTTAATAGTCATGCAATGTTAAATTAGAGGGGCCCTCATGCACTTTAAAGGACCCCAAATATCTAGCTGCACCCCTGCATCATGTGTCAACATATGCTAATTTAGAATGAACGCAACAAACAATCTGCTTTCTCCAAACACCTGACATGATAATCTGCATTCAACACATGAAAGAGACATCATCCTCAAACATTTAGATAACCAGATTGCTGCCATTAATCTCTCTGCATTTCATTAGCATGCAAAGTAGCATTCTTAAAATAAGCTCCTAAATGTTGATAAATGTTACCTTCTTAACTCTTTTTTTCAGGATGCACTCCACAGCAAACACCTGCTCCCCTATAGCTGACAGCTCCATGTGTGTTACGTTTTCACCTGTCAAAGTAAAACCTCCCGGTGTTTACAGACCGAGAGAACCGGGAAATGTTAGCGGTGCTTAGGCTGTGTCCTCCCCGTCTATGGAGCGTTATTTTCGGGTCCGTTAACCTGCAGACCCCTCCGCCAGCTGGATGTTTCGGAACAGTGACTTTACAAAATCTGCGACACATCTGCACACCGCTCTGCGCGCTCCCGTGTCCGTATGCGCGCTCCCTTGTTTATAATGAGAACGAGCGCGCCACCAGCAGCCTCATGCTTCATTCAGGATGTGAGCAAAAAATAAATAGAAATACAAAAATAAACTACATTAATTACTTAAAAAAAGACAAAGATTAAGGCGTACAAATTCAAAGTTGGAAATTAAACAATAAAAAGTAAAAATTACTTTCAGAGGTGGAATAACAGTCTTTGCTTAAATAAAGAGTTACAAGTACAATTAATATTGAGTATAATCAGCTAAATGTATTTAAAGTATATTTAAAAACCTAGTTGTTATTCTTTAAACTGATGGCTAGTTTAATAACAATTATATATAATTTTTTTTTGGAAACATTTCAATTTAGATTTTTGAAGCTGTGTATAAAATGAAGTACGGTAAAACATGTAGTATTGTAGAAGTATAAAGAAACATAAAATACAAATAAAATACCTACAAATTGTTTAAAAGCACGAGTAAATGTTATACATTAGTTCCTCTACTGAAATAAACTGAACAATAACCCTGTGAGAGCAAAATATGACAGATTAAATATAAACACACTGTCGTTTGTACATAAAGTGCCATTATAAGCATTTTATTTCTATGCAAAACATAAAAAAAATACAACAATATCAGGATTCCTTCAGTGGGAAGGGCTGAATGGATTGTCATGGCAACAAAAAAAGCACATGTTGAATAAATGCAACCGTGAGATATGATGTGAGTGGGTCCAAAAATCTCCAAAAGCAAATAAATGAAAACCTCTCTGATGCTTCACGTTGATATAACGCAACATTTAGAGGTTGAAGGTCCAAAAGAAACGACACAAAGCCCTTGGCTGCAAAAGTGAAAACATCATATTTAAATTATGTGATCTGATAAATTGGTGCTTTGGATTAAATCTCCTGATAAATGGCATCTTATTCTTTCAGAGCAACACATATATATTTGAAATGTAAACAAGTTAAGGCCAATATCGTCGTTAAGACACAATAGAAATAACAGTTTCTCTTGAGCTGATTTGAAAGCTGCAAACAGAGGAATCTCTCGTAAGGCTCTTTTCACAGAAATCCACCAAAAAAAACTTTCTTTTTTACATTTCTCTACACCTAGGCACACTGCGCTTCATCTCCTCCTAAATCCACTTTTCTAAAACGTCCTCTTGCACATTTGAGACCCTCGCTGAGTGTTTCAAAGTGTTTTAAAGGGGCCCTATTATATCAGTTTCAAGTTTCACATGTGTATGTAGTGTCTCTACTGTGACATGCTTTAATGCTCAAACATTTCTCATACCCCCAAAAGCATGACAGGGCCTCTTTAAAAGTCAAAAATAACTCTCCCTGGGGCTGAACTTTTTAAATTAGGTACGGTCAATTCGTGTCATTTTGTAAGATTACATTTGAACAAAAATAGAAACACTTTCTCTTATCACCCTCATTTGAAATATATTACATCTAGAACTAATTTCAGTCCAATTAGACATGAGTATCGTTAGCACAATAACCCCCAGATCTAGCTTTTGCAAAGTCATGCCAACTGTTTACATAAAGTACGGCACATTTCTGTGAGCTTGAATAATTAAGATAGAAGGTTTTTCTCCCTAATTAGATGTCTTCTTGTATTGTATGCAGTATAACCATTACTTTAGCCTTATTTCCTGTCCCCCTCTCCACTTTAGAGAAACCGTTTCAATGTGAACAATCACAGAAAACTGGATTAATGACGCCATTACTTCTAGGAAACCGAGTGAGAGATCCAGTAGAGCGAGTGTTCGGCCCGGGAGATGCATTGCTCTGTTGCATAATATAAAACTGTGTATGGAAAGTGGATGAAATACAAAGTTGGCAACGTGATGAATCACTCCATTTTGACCTGTGGTGAGATGAAAAAAAGAGGCAGAAAGGGCACGCTTTGGTGAAAGTGAAGGACGGGAAACACGTCTGTGGAAACATGGCTGAAGCCTGGAGCGTCACTGCGGATAATCAGCATTTTTCATAAACTCCCATCACTTTGGAAACAGTAAAAATAAACAAAAACTGACATTGAAAAATAGTCAATATATATATATAAAAACACAAGATTTGTATAAGTGTGTTTTGAGTAAAGGACTGTGATTCTCCCTGTAAAGTGTTTGCTTCCTTCATTGCTTTGCATCCTCTCCGATAAAGAGTCCAGCAATGGCCGTGTAAACAAAACCTCAAAAGGAAAGGGAGGACGAACATCTGCATCCGCGTGATTGGCTGTGCACGACTTCCTGTCCTGTGATTGGCCCGTTAAGAGCGGCAGGTTGAAGTTAGCCGTCCGACCGCCATGTTTGGTGCGCCTCCACTTCCTCTGGGACGACCAATAGGAGCTCACAGTTCTTCCCTCGCAGCTGCTGCCGGAGAAACTTCCTGCCATGAGGAACAATAGCAACGCCACTTATTATTATGATAATAAAACCCAAAAAATCAACTGTTTTACAGAAATTTGTATAGAAAACACTACTTGAAAAACATTTATTTTAGGTTAAAAACCATAGAAACTTATATTTAACATTATTTTTGTAAGGGAATATTTCTGTCTTACTCCTAAGTGTCAAAGAATAATTCTTCCTTACTCCTAAATATTTAACCTTTCTGTGTGTTGACGTTTACAACCAACCCTAAGTCTGTTATCTGTCTTAAGGAATGGGAAGTCTCAGCTATTGTTGACATTACCAGTTTTATGACCGGTCAACTCTCGGTCACAGAGCCTAAGAGTCAGATAAGTGATTCAGTGTCTCTATGTGTTAACAGCCCAATATGTTGATTAACTCTCTGTAAACTAGTTAAAAGGTCTATCGAGAGATAGGCTGGTCAGAATTGACATGACAACCCACCCGTGCAGTCAGAACCTTTTGCTGCTGTGACTTGTGATATGAATTCTCCGGCCGTTGACTTGTAATAAACATCATTGTTTGACATCAAAGCTCCAACTCTCCTCGTGTCTCTCTCTGAGTCCTGACTCTCCATTGCTTCAGAAGTTTCCCTTACAATTTTGAGCACATTTAGGACATGTATAGCTACAAATATGCACTCTTAACAAATAATAGGGAAGATAATTACATGTTTTTAATATCTATACTGTATGCTGCTCTGTATAAAAGGATAGACCTGCTTTAAAGCCTCTTATGGCGCATTTACACTGCAGCGCGTAGCACGGTTTAAACGTGCCGTGCCAAACCCGGCCCGTTTTGGTTGCGTTTCCACTAGGGCTGGTTCCGGGTAACGGGTGCTTTTTCACAGTTTTTCTGGCCCTCCAAAATCGTCCGGCCAACTAGGGCTGCTCGATTATGGCAAAAATCATAATCTCGATTATTTGGGTCAATAATTGATATCACGATTGAGACTGCCAAGGCACACANTCTGGCCCTCCAAAATCGTCCGGCCAACTAGGGCTGCTCGATTATGGCAAAAATCATAATCTCGATTATTTGGGTCAATAATTGATATCACGATTATTAAAAACGATTATCCATTTACTTTGAAAACATCAATTTATTGGAGAAAAAAATTATGTTCAAAAATTTGAACAGTATGTTTTCAACAGTTGATTACCCTTAACTTTAAGTATAATTCAACTGAAAAACCAATACAAATATGTTTTATTAAAAAAAAAAAAAAGGGTTTTTTCTTTTAAAATGCGTGTTTTCTGAATGGAGATCGGCTAAACTAACGCAGCATATGCTCCGACCGTCCACACTCACAACAACGGCCTACAGACATAAATAAAGCAGCGACTGTATTCTCCATGACACAGACAGTCTGTGGTTTGTTCTTGTTTAACTTTTGTCTAGTTTCTGAAACGATATGAGGAGCTGTGAGCTCTGAGGGCTAACAGCTAACGGCTGATGTTGGTTTTGTGGTTCTCACTGCGTTACTATAGTTACTGCCCCAGTTACTAAACTGTAATGGAAACGCAGCTTATGCTGCGTTTCCATTACAGTTTAGTAACTGGGGCAGTAACTATAGTAACGCAGTGAGAACCACAAAACCAACATCAGCCGTTAGCTGTTAGCCCTCAGAGCNGGTCAGCCGTAACAAGACTACCGTTTGCAAAGACTAACCCGGCACCCAGGGTTAAATCTATATGCAGTACAGCTCGTTTAGACTAGTCGAAGGCAACATCGGCAAAATCTCTTAAACCCATGCCCTGTTCTCTCCCCAAAATAAAAGACTGGATACGCCAGGGCTGTGTGGCCCCTGTGTACGAAATACCATATTTTTTGTAGATCTACGTAAAACGGCTACTATCCAGGGGATAATAGTAGGATGTGTTAGACTTAGAGTTATACTTTCAATACATAAGGGTTTTGTACTCTTAGTCATATAGGGCGGTAATCTACACTTGTGATAACAATGTTCCTGTCTTTGTTAAGCTATGAAATTTTTGATGAGGAAAAGGTTAAGGTTGGAGTAAGGTCACTTTTATATGTAAAATGTGTTGAAAAGGTGGGAAAAACCACGGGGACATTGGGCCGAGCGGGTGGAGACCATCTAGAGGACGTCCCGCAGGGACGGACTTCGACACGGCAGGACCTTCGCATTACAGTCCCGCACTTCGTTCCCGCGTGTCGAGGGCGGCAGACAAGAGCACTATTACCCGCGCGTCGGACGTGCCGCGCCAGGCCAGTAGACCCGACGGCGACAATACTCGGGGTCGGTACTGTGTCGCGCCGATTAGGAGACGCCGCCTGCGGTGGTACAGACTAACTGGCCGCCGCCCCGTCTCTAGTACGCCTGTAGCTCCCCAGACAGGGCTGTTCGATCGAACCACGATCGGCAGCGCCTCCCGAGATTACCACTCACTTCGTATGCGTGCGGAGCGCATGGACACCTATCCCCTGTGTGCCATTAGCATCGCTAACACTCAGAGCTAACCTGTACTGGAGAGCATGTGTGTGAAGAAGCAGGAAGTAAAAAGGAACTCACCTTGTGGTATAACCGGCAAGAGAGAAAGCCTTTGAGCTCCATACTGTTTCAGAAATAATCCTTGATAATCCATGATATGGCGTTTCATCACGGCAGTATTTAGTTTAGACAGTAGCTGCCGGGTCCCTCATGAGCTCAGACCCCTCCTTTTTTCTTCTTCTTTCAGTTTAAAAAATAAAATGCTTAATTTTTGTATTTAGCTTTTATTTATACAGGCGAAAATGTCATTGAGACACAGGGTCTCATTTTCAAGAGAAATCTGTTTATACCCAAATCAGCACTTTTGAAACAGGAAGTGAAATAGAGGGATATGAGGCATGGCTAGAATGGGTGATCTGTTTGGTATTTTGAGCAAAACACTTCATAGACATGTTTTTTATATCTTTGTAGATCTGAGACCTAAGCTATTGCCTAAAAATAGTATGATAGGTGACCTTTAAAGAAAAAGGAGCATGGTGTTTTCCTTGTAAGTCTTCTCTAAATTCCAGAAATGTCCTCCCGAGATGTTGCGCGTTGTTCTGTTAGTATCCGTTAAATTCCAAGTTTAACTAAAGTTACGCAAAATAAGTTGCTTGTTTTGTGGGCGCTGTTAAAAACATGGAGTCTGCCTGACCCAGAGGATGTTGAGGCTATTCAGGGACACAGAGCTGATTAGACTCTATCCCGGTAACTGGATTGAATTCTAATTAATAATAAGTTTCATGTTCAATTCCTCCAGTTTATAACAAAACAAATGCAATTTAAAAAAAAAATCTACCTTCATTTGTAAAGAAGACTTCATCTCTCAATGCATGTCCCATGTGTTTCAAAACCCAAACTACCGTACGATTTAATATACCCAATGCATAGTATGCCGTAAATACCAGGGTGTCCTACTGGTCACATCTCTATCCCACAATCCTTTGCAAAACAGAGAGAAGTTTTTGTAGATCTAGTATGACCCACTTGTATGAATCCTGCATGCCACAGTGTGTAAGGGAAGCTGCAGTACATACGTTTGTTTACATGTGATTGTTGACTGATCAAAGCTCAAAGACGGTCTCTACTTTATTAGATATATGGCTATAAAGATCAGACTATACATATTTTCAAACAGTTTTAACAATGAAATGGAAATTGGGTAACACAGTTGAGGGAAACCTTATTTAAATATTTCTTCTGTGTACTTATATATATACGTTTATAATTTCTCTCTCTGTCGACAGGCTTTCTCCCAGCACTCTGGTGACGCCGCACAAGAAGAGCATGCTGGGAAACGGGAACTACGATGTAAACGTCATCATGGCGGCGCTGCAGACCCGCGGGTTCGAGGCCGTTTGGTGGGATAAAAGAAGGTAAGACGGGCGGGAAACTTCCATCAACTAATACATATCATATGTAACTTTTCGGCATTTCAAATTTATAAAAACAACTAGACCTCTGCTATATATTTTCCGTTACTCTACCTACATTTCCCCGAATGATTCAAACACTTTTCAAACCTAGGGAAATCTGTTATTGACATATTAGTGTTGTATCCCCTGAAGAAGCTGTCAAAAAGTGCCCTTATATACAGTTTAAGCTGCATTTTCACCATATTTCTTTCAAGATCTTGGTCTTTTTTTACTTTATATTATATCCTCGTGTAGGATTTTAATCATTAGACGTCTGGAAGTTATCAGAGGCAGCCAAACGGTGTAGGAGAAACACAGATTTCTGACGTAAAACAGCTTATTTTAGGGTTTTTATCTTAATTTCTTACTGAAAAAATACAAATTTAAAATAGATACGCTTACAAAATTACACTTTTTGTGCCTTAGATACATACACTCATGTCTGGACATTATTAAGATCTTAATTAGTAATACTTTTTCTGATATACAAAGGCACAATCTACTGTGTCTGTTTGTTTTGGAGAGAAGGAGACCTCCGCATAAATCCACTATCAGTATGAAAATAAAATCCCAACCACGAGAAAATGACTGCAATGACGACAATTGTGGTGAAGACAAAAACTCCCATGATCCCACGCTGTTTCATAATGTCAACAAACTATTGTGTTGTTTTGCTAAAGAGACGCCTTAACAGCAGAACATATCTTGCTGTTGGTTTGACTCCCACTGAGTAAACATGAGGTAAACGTCTTAAAGTGTCCTCGTTAGCATGGTCTCTGTGATTAGTCAGCGTTCCTGCTTCCCTCACTCAGTCTTACAGCAGACGCTTTTATCAGTAAAACGATAATGTTATCAGAAGAGCATTATTCCTGTGTCTGTGTCCTAAACAGGAACGAAATGACTCTTAATCTGGAGACAGTAACAGCTGATTGATGCAACACAGTGAAGAATGTCATGACAGATGATATGTGTCATTGTAGGACTTTAGATTTGGTCAAAGTAATGATTGTTGTTATTATACCTCACTTTGTGTTGCATTTGATTGCTTACGGGAAACTCTGACAGTCAATACAGGATCACTTCAGCACTAAACCACACAATTATAATGTAATTTTTGTTGATTAAAGAAGGGAAAATAATCGGTACAGCAGCATATTATAAATTGGCTCATTCCAATATATTTTCTGTTGGATTTGGAGCTTTTATTTTTGAAGTTTTACCATGATATGCCTTATTCTGATTCTGATATTAAATGACTTTTCCTCCTTCAGGGATGTGGGCAGCATCGAGCTGTCCAACGTGACGGGCTTCATCCTGAACGTCCCGTCCAACCTGCGCTGGGGTCCTCTGATGCTGCCGCTCAAACGCCAGCACTGGATGGGAGTCAGGGAGGTGGGGGGGGTCTACTACAACCTGGACTCCAAGCTGCGCAGCCCTCAGCCAATCGGAGCGCCCGACCACCTCAGGTGTGTGTGTGTGTGTGTGTGTGTGTGTGTGTGTGTGTGTGTGTGTGTGTGTGTGTGTGTGTGTGTGTGTGTGTGTGTGGAGAGATTCAGTTAAGTGTTAAACATGCAATTTTTACTTTAAGTGCAAGGGGGATGCTTCACCGTGAGTATTTTGGTCAGTGCTGGTTCACCTCTGTCTAAATGAATTGACTACCACCGGTCGCCTTCTGGTTTTTCAACATGCCGCAGACACATCAAACATCTATTTGCATCATTGCTTATGGGATGCTATCCATCTTTGCATCATTATACATTTGCGAAGACGCAGTGACAACTTTGCTTATGTTGCTTTTTACAAGATCTATTACCTAGCTTTATTGAATAGATCACACTGGGCTTCTTCTAAACTAGCAACACTTTCAATATTGACACAATAGGGACAAAGGGGCTCATTTTCAGGTTCAATGGAGTGAACACAGGGGATTTTAGCCTCTGCAGACCATTTACATGCACAGAAACCTATAGAGCACAGCAGGAGAGGGAAAACCCCCAAAAAGCACAATAGGGTCTCTTTAAGATATTTTTAAATAAGATGTCGATGCAGAGGGGGACAGTAATGCATTTTCTTAAGACTCGAATTAAGTACATTTGTTGCTTTTACGCCAAATATTGTATTTTTGACTCCAGTGCATTTCTATGAATGTTACCCGTTACTTTGAGGTGGATGAATTTTCTCTTTTCTTTTCTAAAACGCATTATAGCGTACGATGTGTAGTTGTACTAATATCATGTTATTTTGATGTAAATGTCAAACAAAACACGTTAATAAAAGAAATAAGATATCATGCAAACATACATTTTATTTCACTTTTCGGATGTGTTTTAATTCCCTGATGTGTGTGTCTTCTTTTATAAGGGCCTGTGTGTTTCCTCCACTGTTCCTGTGTCGACCTACCTTTCATAATTCATAAGATATCAAACTTTAAAGATGTTTGGGGGAATGAACTGCAGTCAGCAGAACTGCTCAGTGTTTCCTCTGTTTCTCTCCAGAGGAATCTGAAACAGCATTTAGACCAGGAAATGAACTTTAATATGGAGACGCTTAAATTGAATTAAAATCTATCATAGATTTATTTCATAGATTGCATTTAGGTTTCTGCTTTCTACATCATATTGTCAACAGATCACTTATGTATACTCTATATGTATACAATATGACAACAACCGGAAAAAGCTCACAAAAATAAAATCATTAAAAAAAACTGAGGGACAATAATCACAAATAAAACAAATAAGAATACATATCTAATACATTTAGGGGGGGGGAGGAAATAGGGGGTGTAGTCAAATGGTGATCATATTAAGTTATTTGAATTTACTTTTTTAAACAACAGCAACCAGAAAAAGCTTAAATAAATAAATAAATAACGTAATGTAAAAAATAAACAATGATTAAAAACAAATAATAACAGATAAATACAATTAGTTTAGGGATCTAAAAGGGGTTTAGTCTTTACCGCTCATACATGGTGATCATATTGAGTTAATTTCCTTTTTTAAGTACCAGTAATAGCAATGGTGGTCATAATAAAGTGCATTTATGTAGAGCTTATATTCTTTTCAATTCCTTTCATAGTCTCGCTATGTTTCTTTGTGCATAGATAGACCCAGTTTACTTTATTTAAAGGCAGTTTCAACCACAGTCTATGGTTTCAACACGCCCTCTCCAGCAGGGTGAGTTAATATGGGTTTCTCTCCTGGCTGGGAGGTTCCTCTGTCTACTGACGCACGCGCTGACAGCAACATGGAGCTCGAGGAGGAGACGCTTCTGCGCATGTCCGCGTGTGCACGGCCAGAAACAGACAGATAGCTGCTCAACTGAGGAAAAACTGGCAAAGACAAAGGACTGAGACACATTTACAGAACCAGGAGAGACTATATTGAGTTTTTACACCGGTTTATAATAGCCAAGGTGTTCGAGGACCACCAGGAAGCGGACAGGTGAGTGTTTCTGCTGAAAAAATGAAGTTATAAGACATAAAGGAAGCGTTGTGGTTGTGTTTGCTGTAGTCACGTAAAGCAGCCTGAGGATTGTTGCTACATATCTGTTAGTATCATGGATTAAAAGCATCTGTGCATGTGTTATGTTTGTGTTTAATCCCTGTTAATGGACTGTAGGATCGCTGTGATAATTGTTAGGGCTATTTTTACTGAACAGACTGCTTCCTCTACCCAGTCCTGGAAATGTTTACCTTCTCTTTTAAGGGTCTGCTGAACAGGAGGAGATTGTAACCAGCCTGTACTGTCATTTCAGATATCTAAAGCCAGTTTAAATTAAAATAAGAGGTGATTTGAAGTGTTTTTGAGGTGTTACAATGCTAATCAGACTCAGTTAGGGTGTCATTTTGGGCTCTGCTAACATGTGGTGGGGATTTGTGACCAATTTTTGTTATTTAAAATAGATTAAATACAATATTGTAAAAAGAAAGGCAAGCTTATCAAAATAGCTTTAAGACATAGTGTGAAAGAAACACATTGTAAATAAACAAATGACTAATTTACAATAACAAGTAAGAGAAGGCCAGTTTATTTCTATAGAACTTATAGAAACATAATATATTAAAGCATTACAACAAAATAAACGCATTATAAAAAGACATTTAAATACCTTTTAAAGCCAAGAAAATATAAATGAAGTCAAGCTAAAATAGAATAAAGTTACAGTGCTGTGTAAAATATGATTAATTGTTTGATTTAATCCAAAGAAAATAGAAAAGTCTTGACTTAAAAGAAGTGAGAGTTCCCGTTTTCTGGTTAGTTTTAGATATTTGGAGCAGATCCTAATAACACAGATTCTCTTTCTGTCTTTTTCAGTTTCTTTGACTCTCCAAGCATCGAATCCAGTGGAACCGACCCCTCCTGGTCGATGGAAATACCTGCAAATCTCTAGTCTCGTATGGAAACAGCCGCAAACCGGAGATGGAGGAAGTGGAAACACACACCTCTTTTGTGGAGTAATCGTCATTTCGCTTCGGGAGCATCTTTGTTTGCTGGCAGTTCCATCGTCTTGAGTTCCTGTTGACCTTTTCTCCACGTCTACCCTTTAGAGAGCAGGTGTAACACCCCCCCCCCGCTCCTCTCCTCGGCTGGGCGGTTGCTCTGGTAATGGTTGCCATGATGCTGATGTAGCGTCGGGAAGCTGGTAGTTAACCAAATTTCATTAAAAAATCTGCTCAGAATTAGGCAAGATATAGTTGATTTGGTAGAGGAGTCTGCATCGCTCAATGCGTTGTTCGTGCGTTTAGGTACCAAAACTACCACACCCAGAGATGGCAAAAGTACACACATCCTTTACTCAAGTAGAAGTACAGATACTCGTGTTTAAAATAATCTGGTAAAAGTAGAAGTACTGACTAAACTTCTTTACTCAAGTCAAAGTAAAGAGGCTTTGAAATGTACTTAAGTAAAAAGTACCCATAACTAGCAGCTGTTTTAAAGAGTACCTGACCTCCCTTTATATTAATAGAACAATAATGTCATTGTTAGCTAATGAATGTTTCCATGCTGAACAACGGCAACATGACAACGTTTTCATTGGTCCCTCTTCTTTAGAGAAGACCAGGAAATGATGGATACACGGATCGTGTTCAAATCAATAGGCACGCAATGACTCTAAATAATAATGATCACGCCACCAAACACACATTCAGACTAAAGGAACCAGCCTGTTTGGAAAATGAGAGAAGTAGAAAGTACAGGTATTTGTGTTCAAAATGTAAGAAGTAGAAAGTACAGGTATTTGAGTTCAACATGTAAGAAGTAGAAAGTACAGGTATTTGTGTTCAACATGTAGCGACTCTAGTGCCAAGAGTCATTAAGACGAGTCTCACGTGGCAACTTCGTAAAGATTACATGGGGGCGGGGGATCTGCCTACACTGCAGGTGGCCGGTAATTTGTTCAAGTATGTTGTGACGTTAATGTAAACTTCGGAAAACCACTATATAATGGACAATTATTAAAGACAAAAACATCACATAAACAGAAAACATCTCGTAAAAAGTAAATAAGAGAATATAATGATTTTAGGCGGATCCCGTCGTTAACAATCTTGGCCGGGAACAAATGATCCGCGGAGTTCTCGGAAGCAACACGACCCTGCTAGAGTATCTTTGCCCTCCCGCCCGCGTGAAGCGTGCTGGATTTATTAGGTGGGCGAGCCGCAGGTAATAACGACCCGGGTGCACGGAATCGTGGCGCCAAACTGAGGCAGGATCCCCTTCGTACATAATATAAGTACCAGACACCCGACCTCGACACTGAAGTCTAAAATTCCGTACCAGATGTACAGACATACACTATGTTCTGTTATTTCGGAAAACTAGAAATTAGAAAATTTAGACGTAGAGAGGAGGCATGGAACCGAGCGTCCCCGGCACTTGGAGCTCGCCAAGAGTGTTCGAGCCGACAACGTCTGGCAAGCTCTCAAAACCGCCAGAGAGCGCGGGCGTCGCGGAGGTCTCACCTCTAGCGAACTGCACCAAGCACTGCGAATCTTGAGGCCCAGCGCGGGCTTGTGCGGGTAGGTGTGAGTCTGGCTCGTCGACACCTCTTGTAGTACGCAACTAACTATAGAAAGTGAAAAATTCGAACATAAAGTTCAAAGTTCGTTGCGTAGTCGAACATAAAAGCACAGCTCCAGGTGAGAAGATACTTATAAAAAAAGTCTCTCCGTCGAGTGTAAACGTACCAATCTATTCATTTTATCATAATAACTAGGTTTAACCCTAAACAAACACAAAGTCAACAAATTTCTGTACCGTAATGTTAATTTAAATCTGTGGAGCTTTATTTGTTCTTTCATCTTTTATATGTACTACTTAAATGTTTGAATTTGTTTTTGTTTTGTGCAAGAATATATATGTATTATCATACACTCTCTACCTTATAATTATAAATTTGACCTTATAATTTACAGATTTCATGTCATCTACATTAGGTTCACTTCGAATGCCTCGTCTCTCAAGAAGACTACCAAGTCAAATCAGCAAAAACAAACTCATTTACGCTATTTAGACCTAATGTTCATGTCATAATGTTCCATATGTCTTAAATGACTCAAAGTCAAAACGGACTAAAGGTGCTATTTAAACGTCGAACGATTACGAGAATTAGATGAAAACCTAACTTATTAGTACCCATAGAGTAACAAGGGAGAGTCTTTGTACCGTATATATATCATTGACAATTACTACTTACACTTTAAATAAACCTCGCAGGAATTTCAACTTATGTCAGATAAGGTACGTAATGTAGTTGCATGTTACAAATATAAGATCGGTTGATCAAGACATACAAGTATGAAGGTGAACATATTACCGATGAGAATAAGTACACTTATAATTAGATTACACAACAGAAACACCAAAAGCTTAATAATATAATTTTTGTAATTATATATTAATAGGACTACTTTCTGTCGTAGAAACTACGGACATTCTGGTCTCCACCCTTCATCACCATAGTCGTTTATGAAACATACATAATAAGTATACAGGAGACCACCTGACAACAGACAAGCACA